TCGATGGAGCGAGATTCTAAAGTCCTAGCTAAGGAAGCCTGTTGCGCCGTTTGACACAATGTCCGTACATTAAATGCTCCAACATGTAGACTAGAACGAGGTTTCAAGAGACTAGGAATGACGTTTCGTGAACTCGCATCGTTTGCATTAGCGGTGCAGTCAGATAAGGGAATGTAAGTACAGTTAGTTGTGGAGAGACGAGAGGTATGTGTGGGTGTAGGAAGGATTTGATTTCGACCAATTTGGTCTCTCGTGCTGTTATGTGTATGAGGGCGGTTGTCACTTCCCGGCTGCCCACACCGTGGAAGGTTGTTTCTTGAGGGACCTGAAAAGGAAAATAGATTAGTGTTGGTCTTGGAGACCTGGGAGCGTCCCGCAGAGTCCAAGGGACAACTGCTTCAGGCCGGTCACGCGCGGCCTTTTTATGAAAGGTATTTTGAGGATTAGCTCCGTTCTTAAAGGCCCTTAGTGGGCACCCTTACCCAAGGAGACGGAAATCCGTGAGGTAGGGGAGGTGTGACATTTTTAGGGCCGACCTTTTCTAACCCTTCCTTCCTTCTCTGTGAGAAGGCAGCATCGCTGCAGATGCTGGTTGTCCGAGGGAAACACCTTACTGCTGTCACACCCCTCTGCAGTCAGCAGTACGACTTCGCCCTCAGACCTTGGGTAGCTGCTTTTAGTCTCATCGTTCTCCAATCGACCTGCCTGGCATGGTAGGACCTGCAGGAACATATGTTCCAGCCAGTATAGCTCGGTTGGGTCATCACGATAGGCAAGCCTGACCACCACGTCAAGGTAGCAGCTACGGTCGGAGAACAAAAAGCTACCGACAAAATGCTTAAGTTCAACCTGTTCGGGTGTAGACAGTAACTACCGAAGACTGTGTATGAAGTTGCGCAACTCCGTAAATTTGATCAAGTTAGACATTAACACCACTAGATACCGGCACAGTGGTCTATCGGTTGGGGCGTTTGCGCACACTACCGAAGTCCCTGGGTTCGAATACCGCGGGGTGCATGAGTCGTGGACGTGCACTGCTGAGGAGTCCCATACCATTACGAAACGGCCGTCCAGTGCTTCCAGGTTTCTAGTGGTGGTCTAACGTTGATCGGTTCATGTTTTCAAAAACGTTTAAGTGTCCAATTCTCCATAATGTTACAGATTTATTTTTAATCAATATCACTTTTTTAACCTTGATTTGTAACTTTGCTTCTGAGATTATCATGCATTGTACAAAAAAGCTAAGACCCTATGTAAAATGAAATAGATCGACACTATTCTGATTGAATCATTGTTCTTTCATTAATATATAATCTCTTCAATCTTCTAAATAACCAATAATAAGGTCATGAGTAAATATTAATTAATATTGTGACTTATAGAAAGGTATCAATCAAATCAGTACATTAAAGTTCAATAGAATCAACATAACAACTGCGATTTCATATATGATCAAAAAAATCTTTTGTAAAAAAAGACTACATTCAAACTATATAGCAGACAAGTTACACATTTAAATTATACATACACTGAAACATGAATTGTACTTTTCCAATGAAAATAAACATTTGCATTTGAATATCGAACAGTTTAAACGTCCGTTATGTATGTACTAATAAATGTTTTGAAATTTCTAATAAACCAAGAAAATATTTATTTTGTTTGATATAAATTAATAGTACAACATATTTAGTTAAGGTGACTCATTGTCTGAAATGTTAGAGGAACGATATATATATATTTATATATAACGAATCTTCATCATGGGAACAATGTCCAACTGAATTAACCGAAATTCGAGGTCAAACAGCACCGTTTTTTTCTTGAAATATAATCAGAAAGCCCATACACAGGTAACACAAAGAAAATAATATAATCTGGCGCTCTATCTGTCACGTGCTTTATTTTATCGTACTGATGTGACACCTGACATAAACGTACTAAAAAAATGGAGAAATCTGTGACTTTCTAACTATCCATTTTTCGTGAGTCAATATCGATTAACTCTTGTATCAGAATTATTTCTGACATGCTATTCGAGTAATCTGCTTAACTTTCCTGTGTTCATTTAATTTTAGTTTTTAATTTTTATTTTGCAATCGGACTAGAAAAGTAACTGTTTATTACCGTTTATTCTATTAAATAAATGAGGTAGTCCACGAACAGGAATAGGTTTCTAATATAGATCTAAACAATTTTCTATCGATAAGGGATAAAGAAATGAATAGCAATGGCAATATGATAAAAGGTAGTAATGTTACTAAGAGGTGATATTTCGCAACTGATTTAAACGATTCTATGGACTAGCCAATCTTACAATGTGAATACCTAGCATCTACATTACTCATTAAATGAGGACTTATCTTCCAAACACTAACTGGATTCGAGTACATAAACGAGTGGCACAAAATTAAGTTGTTGTTAATGGTGTCTGGCCAGCAGATCCAAAGTATATTGTGTAGACAACTGGTAATGTATAACTGTATCTTCTGGATGATAGCTTTGGTAGTTTTCCAAGTCTCCACTGCATACAGTAGAACTGTCTTAACATTTGTATTGTAAATGGTGACTTTGGTGTTGGTTGATAGTTGTTCTTCAATTGTAGAAATGCAGCCCTTGCTTTGCCAATCCGCACCTTCACGTCTGCATCGGATCCACCTTGATTGTCGATGATGCTGCCCAGATATGTAAAGGTTTTTGCGTCCTCCAAGGCATATCTCCATCAAAAGTGACTTTGTTGGCGAAAGTTGTGTTGTATCGGAGAATTTTGCTTTTCCCTTTGTTTATGTTGAGAACTGCTAATACACTGGTCGTCTTTTGTTACATTTGCTGTTGCGTGTGTGATACAAGAGCCATATCATCTGCGAAGTCTAGATCGTCTCGCTGAATCCTGGCTGTCTACTGAATACCGTTCTTCTCTCCAGATGTTGACATCTTCATTCTAGTTTAAACATGTTTTATTATATTTTACAAAATTAATTATAGGGTAGCTATTCAAAGCACTTTGAATTTTTTTTCTACATACGAAAAAAAACCAACTGTCACTCTTCACTGTTAGTACCCTGAAAAGTTCGAACAAACTCTTTCAAATATGCACATCTTTTTAATATACTTCTGCATAGAAAGAAATTAGATGCAAAACACGAATAATGAAAAGTCAGGATTTGTCTAAAATGTGACAATTTGTTTGGTAAGTAGATTTATCCTATACGTGTATGAGTGTAGAAACATACTGAGTTTACAAACCGTAGATAAGACAAACTAACAAAAAATTTCAAATTCAGACTACATTTTTGTTACAAAAAATGCTATGACTCATACCCATGTACAGAGTGAAGTGTGGTGGTGAAAATGGTAAACTCGTTAACAGGTCAGATGAAATTAGTCATAGTGTGTCTGGCTACTAAATAAAACCTATGAATACGCAGCATATATATGACCATAACATCATAGACACTCAACCAGTAGACAGGGCCTAGTGATGAGATGCTTGTCTAGCTTTGGAATAGTAAGCTGACACCAAATTCCCTTCGAAAATGAATAAAATTATCACAGTAACGGACGGATAGAATTCTACTTTAGCATTCATATTATCATGTGATTGTGAAAATACCCTAATCAAATATATTTCTTTCTATTCAATAAACAAATGTACTAACACAATCAACGGGATGTGAATGAAATAAACACCTAAACCTTAATGTAACAGCATTAGTCTGTACGATGGCATTAAATAGTGGTCGCTTCGTGAAACAATATTTTTGGTAAGAAAATGGTCTATATTTTTAATGACACGCAAGTATACATGAAATGACACAACACTGGAAAACCAAAAACAAATGAATTTTCATTTCATTTTTAAAACATCAGAGTGTCATAACAAACTTACGGTCTTCATAAGATAATGATCTGAAATTCTATCAATAAGTAATATTATAAGGAATTTTTTACACCCATATGATACTATACTCTAATCACCAGAAAAAGTTGAAAAATGGTGACTCACTGTTGCTCCGTTATTGTATATACACTGAGTCAACATAGTTAACAACATTTAACTAGAGTAGGCTGATTTAAAGTAAAGACCAAAACAAAACCAGAGAATACTCAACAGCTGTTACACTTTAATTTAGAATGCCTCAGCAGTCCACAATAATGATGCTTTATCATGCTGATTGGTTGATACCCAGATCTCAAAGCAAACACAATACTGTTTGGTAGAGATTTGCAGTTTGTATTTGGCAACTTTAATAATTTCTCAATAAGTTGACACTTAGTGCATTTGTTGGACGTGTTTACATCCTCAAAAAGTCCCTCAACTATCTGGTGTTTCGTTATTTACTTTTCGTAACTCTCGAATCATAGCTCTATATTAGACCTATCTTTTAATTTTATCCTGGTAAAAGATACTATTTTCGTAGTGATTTATGGTTCTTCCAGAATGCTCATTTTTGTCCTGTTTTCACGGTCATTATAATCATACTTACACATATATGCTCTTCCCATAAATCAATATTCTTTGGTCTAACTCAAGAAACCGCTCCTGTAAGACTTCTTGACAGGATTCGATGGCTCAAGCAAGAGGATGTTGGTTGTCATTGTATAGACAAACCGTATTAGTTTTGTGTTGTTAATGATGCAATAAAAAAAATAAAGGACAGGCTATTTATTGATAGACAGACCAGGATACGAGAATACTAAGTCCAGTTTCCAATAAGTTGCGTTATAAGTGAAAACAATCCAGTTAGAAAAAAAGATCTTAAAATCAGAAAATGTGAAACATGGTTTAATATTTTGATGTAAAAAATAAACAAGCCGATTACGTTTGAACACTTTTTTTCAACTGATGAGTAATGTCTTATGAAAAACCGGCAGAAGTATTCGCAGTATTAATGGTAAACTTGCCTATGTTCAAACAGGAATAGACGAAATAAAAATTAAGAAAAAAAGTTAAATCACACATGATAATATAATGGTGAACTAATAATGCAAGAGCTCACAGGTACATCCTTATTATTTAGAATCTGAAATTTTCTGTCGGTAAAGTGACTCCATGTTTGTGAAGAAGGTTCGACCAATTTATCACTTTCTATTGTTTCAATTAATCCACGATAAAGACGTGCAATTTCACTAGCTACCTTTGAATTAGGCGAACCGATTGGCCATGTTTTAGAATTTATTATTGGTGTTTTAAACGAGTCATTATCTGAAGATTCTTTATTTGATGAGTAATTTGATCGGTTCAACGTGTCACAGTCTACTCGTTCAATTAATAAGTTTCTCTTATTTGCAAATAATTCATCATTTCCATAATGAGAGAACCGAGATGAACGTCGTTTGGTATATAATGGTGTTAACTGAAACTAGACAAGTAAAACGAATCAATTAGGCACATATTTATGATAACAGTTACTTCATAAAAAGCAGTTCAGTTTATAATAACAAAAAGAAATACGTTGAATATAATTAATTTAGGGATTTGTGGTTACTTAGATAACTGAAATTCATTATGATCTGGCGCAAGCATATTGCACTTAGTGCTTTCTAATTCATGAAGGACACTTTGTACACGAACTAACGAATGATAGTTAAAAATATAAACAAGTTTATGTCACACACGCGATCATTTACACAAGAGAGAAGAACCTCAATGAAAAGAGTTACAAAAGCATAAGAAAATTCGATAAAAATTATCATTAGCATTTGGAAAGCTATGATCATCAGCTTTGCATTATCAAATATTACTTGTCACTGCCTACTGTAAACAACTAATGTTGACTGAGTTTTCTAGATTGTTCCTTATCCGTTTTTTGCTTTTCCGTATGAATTATTAGGTTTCTTACAGTGAATGATCATCTATGTTGATGAAAAGTGCTGTGAATGAAGATTTAGTCAAAATACATTGATTCACTAGTAACAACAATTTTGAATAAAAAACGTTTATAAATTATTTCAAAACAAATAAATAATGTTTCTGTATAAAAGGTAAAAAAAAAATAGATAACATACTAATGGACTTAACTGGATTTTTCAAAATATTAGTCACCATTAAAATTATTTCATCTTTTCTTCATGCCTATGATAGTTATTTCATGAGTTTAAGATTATACAGTAAAGCTATAACTTATCTAAATAGCGAAATATTTTTTATAAATAAGGTAATATTTTTCAAGTTTATTTGGATTTTAGGTTTTGATTTCTACGCTTTATTGTACAGTAAAAACTAATCTTTTGTTAGTAAAAGCTACTTAGTTATTTAGGATATTTCAGATTCAATTTACATTTTCCATCATCAAGCTATATGGTCATAGTAGTTTTTCAGATGATACAATAAGCTAGGCGTAATCAAGACTCATCTAATTCAGTAAAGTAACTAGAACGCCGTCGGTTTTCAACCTTACAGAAAATGTATCTCAGCTTACTAACATTTAGGAGAGAACGAATAAGTAAGATTGAGGAACAGCAACTCGAAATAATAATGCAAATGATAATAGTGGATAAAGTATAGAGACTTGAGTTCTAAATGGAACTAGTGAAGTAAAATAATGAATTTTAACGCTCTATTCAAGCTCATCAAATTATGACTTCACGGTTTGATGGTGTTTTGTTCTAGTTGTCGCTAGATTTTACACAACCTGTTCCTATGTTACCTTAATTGTTCTTCGGGGTAGCTGGTGGTATGGAATAGCATAATTCATGTCCCATCGATTATCATTACCTGAAGGTTATTTACTGAATACATAATAAGCATTAACATTTGAAAATAATGTATATGATATTTCAATATTTGAAAGACAACCTAAAGTCACACAGAATAAGAAACCCTACCTTTTCTTCTTGTTCTTCTACAGAAGCTTGAGTAGAAACTTTATTGAACTTTCTAGCTTTTCGCTTGTTTCGCTTTACACGACGATTAGTGTTCGTAGATAGCCTTTGCATTCTCGGGAAGAAACCACTTGTTATATAATTAGATGAAGAATCATTCTGACGAAATAATCGTGGGAAAAACTGGGTACATACATTGATAAACAGTGGATGATGAAGCCTTTTATCTGATTTATTAATCATGTCGGTACTCACATTTATGTTAGGTATTGGTTCAAAGAGGATACTATTGTTTCCTTCACAGTCAATATATTCTCCGTTTTCCAAGACTGTTGTTTTCTCTTGTGAGTAAGTTCCCCTAAAAGCATTCTTTGATTCTAATGTTCCACCCTCAGTTGCAGATAATTTATTTCCAATATGAGATTTAAAGTTAAAACTTCTTTTAGGAAGCCGGAATTTAAACCATTTTTTGAGGGCGTTTCGTTTAGATTTCATGCGCACACAATGGTGTATGTCTTCAGGTGCCGACCTGACACTTAGGCGTCGAGTATATTCATTATGATGAGAGCTTACCTCCGATTCCTGTATTTTAGGTATGAAGTGAGTTTTTTGTGTACTTTCACTGCTTACACTATGATAGCGAATAATCGACGAAGATACAGAATCGTCTTTCATTACAGACTTCTTAGACAAGGAACTACCAGTTCCTATGCTGGTTATTTGAGTTGAAATTTCAAAGATTGATGGACTGACAGATTCTATGTTACTTGAATTATGGATTGAGTCAGATCTTTGAGATTTAGCACCAAGACCATCGACACTGTCTAAGTGCTCATAGAGTTCATTTATTTTGCTTCCCTGTACAAATGATCTATTCGTCGACAGAAGAGGGGTTTTATTAGATATAGTTTCACTGTTTGATGAACAAGCTAAAAACAACGTAAGTAGACAATAAGATACATGGAATGCCATTTCCTTACAATTTTTGATAAATGATAATCTAAATTTATCTAACCAAACGGCCAACAAATTAACCTAAGCTATGTGATTTAACTGTCAGGTTTTTTCAGATTACTTTATTCATTTCTGATGAAAATCATAAAATTTTATTATCGTCAATTTATGTGGTAACTCAGCATTTGAAGTATATAAAGTAGGACTTATGTGATTGAGAATAGTTGTGATTTTCATACTCAATGAAATGAATTACGTTACTGACTTGTAACATTCTTTCCAAGTACATGTTAATCATGAATTTCGATGATATTTACGATATAAAATTCACTCACTACGAAATTAATCAAGAGTCCTCTTCTAAAAAGATGTAGAGTTTTGAAATAAAAATACTTTTACATGCTATCACATGAGTTATTGATTCAGATCAGTACATTTTTACGGAATAACCTTTTTATCTCCTAGCATTTAGCTTTTATGAAAATAAATTATAACCCAATAAAGTAAGTAGTCTCTGAATAACTTTCGAATATCATTGGAGTAACAAGCATTACATCACTTTATTTGTTTGTCTTTTATCATACTGTATTGATATAGAGCTTTGAGCCCCACTCAATTACAAACAAATGGAAAACACACAAACTTTATCTGTTGAATATTTTGGTGGGTTTCACTTTTCTATGAGCATCAATATTCTATTATGCAGGAACTTTGACTTAATATGTATTGAAAAAGAGCTAAACTAATCACTGTAGATGTTTTTAAAAAGTGGCTAGTTTCCGTCGTATCAAATGAAACCATAACAACTACAATCGATCACTGATGTTTCTGATCATTGTGTGTATTGTAAACTGTTTTGTGGCCTTTGTCACTAATCATATCAGTTATGTTGTCTTTCAAGTCAGATCAACAACAACAGAGAACTTCGTACGTACGCACATCAGTTCAAGTTGTCATACCACATTAGCACAGAGATGCAATTTTCACTTCAAATCCCATAGTAGTAGAGGTAGTAGAAGTATTAGCAGTAATCGGAGAGATTAGGGTTCGATGATATTATTCAAAAAGTAAATTTTAGTGAAATATACTTAAAATAAAAAGATAAATGTGATGAGGAATTCAGAAGATTAGAATTTGAGAAAACACAAAGAATGGATGCAGCTGCGCCATTGCAAACGGTTTTTAGCCATGTCATTCAGGTTCTCTAACCATCGATTACTATCATCTTGTAAGCCCCAACCAGGTAGTTGACACCCACCAACATGGTTCAGTCCAATAGTCAGTGACTTCATGAATTTACGCCACGTTCTGGTTTGGCCGTCACTAACTTTCTTTCAACCTAGTCCTACACTACAAAACATAGCTCGACGAGGCAGTCGGTGGTTGAGCATACACAACACATGTCCCAACCACCTCAATTGTGCCAAGTACGACACCAGGCTGAAACTCTGGAATCCGGTGCAATCGATGTATGCGGCGTCTCCAAAACGCGCATACAAGATCCTAGTAAAATCGTCAATTTGATTTCACCTTATACGTATAGAGAAACAACACGGTTTACGCTTTGTGCTTTTGAAAGACTTGCTGCTGCTTCTAGTGGCCTCGTTGGTGTAGGTATAGCATTAAGTGATAGACCAGAACTAACTCTCCCAGATTGGATCCCAAAAGATAGTCGGTTGTGAGCTGTCCGACTGAACGGGACAGTAAGGACTCGGAAAGATAGGGACACTCGCCGTTGCCTCTTTGTCGTCTCTGTCTACGCTCCGACTGACTGCGGTTCAGATGAGATAAAGGATGAGTTTAACAGAAACCTCTCTAACCTCCAAAAGGTTAAGCGCTCTGATATAGTAATGATGGCTGGTGACTTTAACGCTCAATTAGGTAAGCCAAGTGAAAAGGAAAGACACCTGGTTGGACCTTATGGTATCGCGGCTCAAAGAACAGATAATGGCGACCGTCTGCTGCAGCTAAGCTCAGATAACCGCTTTAAGTATAAGGAAAAATATTTTGATCTGGAGACCCCCAAAGCCGACCCAACTATATCACATCGCTAAAAGCCATCGGCAGAGAGGCTGTGTTGAAGGCTGCCGCTCATTCCGGAGCACTTGTTTAGATTCGGGTGTTTTTGCAGGTACGAGGGCGGATGTTACTTCCCAGCTGCCTACACAGTGAAAGGGTTCTGGGTGTCAGAACGGGCATCGGCCTCATGACCTCCGAAGTAACTCGGCTTTCATCATGAGACGTCATAATTCTTGTAAATGAAGTCCTGCTAACTCCTAGAGAAGAGTCTAAATGGTTTGAATTATTTTTTTCTTGTTAGCTGTTTTTAGCGAGTTAGTTTTTTACGGGGTGGGGTCGCCAACCCCAAGCCCAACCCTCCTCCTTAATCTGGGATTGGGACCGAAAGTAGCCCCTAAGGGTCAACAGGAGGAGTTGTCATGTTGTCTTTAAGCCAGTGTTTCTGAGTTTCGCCTGAAGTTTCATAGTTTTTGTGAACTCATAACATCATACTTTACAGCACAGAATCCAATTACTAGGGAAGTAACTTATATCATGGAATCCAGTTCCCGATGACTGCCGAATTGCATCAATAAGGTTTACCATACAATAATAAAGTTTGATGACTTGCTAATAATTTGCTCTGCAACTGATTCTGTAGGGTAGATAAGAAAAAGCTATGAACATGGTTTCCATTTCGTCAGTACCAAGCAGAGAAAGATTCTAAAGTCTTAGCTGTTGCCAAGCATGAAACAGATACCCAACGCTTCACACAATTAACTTCAAGGCAAGACATTTATTTTTGCGTGATCAGATTTGCCTATTGTGATGACACAGTTAAATTACATAGGCTTAAATTATGAGATTTCGATGAGTTACGGTGGACATTTCAATCAAATATAAGATCTGAGAGAGAACTTGTACTTCTAATTACATTGGAATGTAATGACAGTAGAGTGTTACCTCTGGATAACCAGCATCTCTGGAGACGCTATATTTACACTGTAAGAGGAAAGGGTTAGAAAACACTGACGATGAGAACAGCACACCTCAACATGCCCCACGGATTTTCAGCGCCGATAGAGCTAACACAAAATCTATTCACAAGTGGTCTGTAAGTAACCAAACTCACGTAGTTTATTCCGTGGTATATCGATCACCCTCCTAAGTTATCAAGGCCACCATTGGCTGAATTTCCTTTCTTGGCATTTTAAGTAACAGCCTTCCCATGATATAAAATCCAGAGAGTGAAAACTGCTCACAAGCATCTAATGGAACTTAAGCTCATCTTTTTCATAAAAAATTTTAAGAATGGATGTATAAAGAAAATGCAAACTTGCTTACTAATGGTATATATTAATAAATTTGTTTTCATTGAATATAAACCCACCATCTTTAAAATGCTTTGTCGTATAGCTCAAATGAGATTCGTTTGCACATTGCTCTAAACATTCTCTGTCAACAACAGACAAATTCGGTATTCGGCTCATATGGATAGAATTTGTGCAAATCTGATAAAGTGATACAATTATGACTCAATAGTTTTCCTTACTGTTGTTTTATTAGACTCTAGAACTTCACTCTTCTGAATATCTTCTTTAAGGGGCAATAAGTTCAAATTTCTACTGTGGGAATTCGATCCTCCAGTTGTTGAATCATCAGGTTTGTAATGGCGAGATACAAATACATTGTTAGATTTGATATCTTTTTGTCTTTTAAGAGAACCAATATTTAGGTACGCCTCCAACATGCTAATAGCTTCTTGTGTAACATGTAACGGAGTTTCCGGGGGAGGCATGATCAACTCAGACTTGAAGCAATGAAATTCTGACGGCGATTTTTGGCTAGATTCCATACTGATACATATCACTTTTCATAAAGATTTATCTACAATATGATAATAGTGGTTCATATTAATATGAACATCCCCCTCGCCCACTAAATACCGCTTAACAAAACAATGAAATAACAAGATAAAGATTATTTACGACGCAAAACAGTGATATAGGCTTTTAGAACATAAATGTCTTGCCTCACTTGGTAGACGTTTAGCTGTACTTAAACTTATCTTTTAGCATACCTTAATCACGGTTTAGCTGAAACGGAAATTTCAAATCCTAATGGTCCGAAATTCTAGGCACATTGGTTAGAAGAATACACCGAAACATCAAAAGATCCCTTCGATAAAATATTTGGCTGTTTGATGATTCGTGACTGAAACTATTAGAGTATTTTTCTGAGGATAACCAAAGAGCGATTAGGAAATGATTCTTCTCAAAAGTAAGACACTGTTATTACCTTATAAATTTCTGGTCCTCAAAGTTAGGTCTAAGATAAACACAGAACACTAAAATTTAAAACACCATAAACTTTGTATACATGTCGTACTGTTAGCCTCTATCTTTTTGACTACAATTTAGACGGTTATGAAATAAAATTCACGTACATCTTTAACCATCACCAGTATCATCAGTATAATCTTTAATGCCTCCTACTGTTACTTTTGAGAATTTTACCAACCGTTCCATACAAGCTTATAGTTCTAACGCATGCTGAAAATGTCAACTTTCAGAACTTACAAAATGTGGTTTATGGTCAAATGAACAGAGACCTGGGCTATACTCCATAGGATATTCTTCTCCATCTCAAATCTTGATCAAACAGCAATTTCTGTTACATGAGTGGCGATGTCTAGACACGTAATGTTAATTGTACATACAGGTGGATGAAAACGGTCTTTGACCATCATTTACTGAGGGCGATTCGGAGAAAATAACTGAATTGTATCAACAGTTGACTAACGCTTTAGACATTCTATAGACTTGCGTAATTACGTCACTTCTTAGTTCATGATTAATTGGAAAGGAAACTTTAAACGAGAAAGTATTAGCAATTGTTTTTAAACTACGGAGAGTCAACGCAGTTATTACTGTTTAATGCAACTGTGTTCTAAAGACATATCTTTTGCGGGTGTCAAGGTGTTATTCAATAACCTCTCTTTAATTTTAAAGACATAAAATTCTGTAAATTCACAATACTGAAATGCCTTTTGTTTTATGAACGTCAACGAGAGCATAATGAATAGTTTCGACTATCAATAACCGTCAGCTATATTTATTTTTTAGGGATTATGAATTGAACCTTATGATGCTTGGTCGAATAATCTAATTTATGAAATGACATTACGTAGTATAATGATTGGCAATAAGCATACATGGATAACAATCTTGACACGAAAAATGGACGCCAAGAATTTCAAATAAGCTTACAAACAGAAGATATGAACATTAATCTGCTAATATTAATCGACAATTTATTACAAGACTAACTGCATTTATGTACTGGCATTAATACTGATTGCTTTACACGTGAAACATAAATGAAATCTATTTGTTCTGGTAATAAATTTCATGTGGGCTTCATCGCTTTACAGATAATCCGGAAGATGAAATGATGGCAATTCAACAAATTTTCCAGGAACAATTTATCTCCTATTCAAGTATACAAAAATTCTAAATTGAGGGTAGCCGAAAAGGGAAACCTTCAGAAATCGATAGGAAGTTAAAGAGGTGAGTCGTATATATATTCGCGAATTTCAAACCTATACCTTAATCTCCGTAAATAAGAGGTAAGAAATATTATGGATGAATAATGTACTAAAAGATATTAAATTCATGATTGTTTTTCCGATAACAACCAGTTCCAATTGATGAGACGGAAACTTCAGCTGTTACGATTAAATGATAAAAATTGAGAATTGTCTGAAGTTTCGAAACTTCTTCGCCAGTGTGAATCCTGAAAGAAGCAGGACAGATAAGTAGGCTGATGTGAGCGATAAATGCTTCCACCCCTAAACGTAGCGCTCCAGCACTTCGAAAGGTTTCCAATATCCAATATCTTTTTAACGAACTGTTGTAAATCAATTGGTTCCGTGGCGCTCAATTCTCATTCTTTCGCTACGGTTCCAGGTGTTTGGTAGTTTTCAAAGGGTGGTGGTTTAGCCACTTGACTGCCCTAACTTCAGTCAGTTGGCAGTTGTTTGTGAGTCTGAGTGTCCCGTGATTCGAATGAGAACGTTTGTTTCGGGGCAATAAGGTCCGAAATATTCACGTAGCTGAACAACGTTTTACATGAAATATGTTAGTAATTCTAACATTGTGATCTTGCCTGTAAATTGGCGGGCCTCTTTTGATATGTTGTTATTTGAGAATAAATTATTATTATTATGTGGTTTATGAGCATGAGTCTGTCAGAGTTTACATCATACCTCCGAAGTCCCTCTATATAAACGAAAAGGCCAAACGAGGTGCAAATAAATTGATTTCCGGGATCGTGAAGTTGCTGTATGACATATAGAACAACTAAGAGTGATATATTCACAGTTTTTAAATTATTAAATTACATATTCTCATCTGATACACCATCAGTTTTCTTGTCTATCAGAACGGAATTGAAATGCTTAGTTCACAAATCCGAAACTGATGACTTTCCCATGTAGTCATTAACGAATAGGACTCGTTACCCCAACATGTGACTGAAACTTCATTCGTCAATGGATCGATCGGGAAACCAACATTGTAAAGACGAACGCAAGTCACACAGTTTCCTTGCCTTTCCGAACTGAAACCAATATAAGGTTGATGACAGATTTTTAGCTTACTTACTTGCTTACTTACTCCTGTCACCCCCAATGGAGCATAGGCCGCTCACCAGTTTTCTCCAACCAACTCTGTTCTGGGCTTCCCTCTCCAGTTCTGTCCACTGTTTGTTCATTCCTCTCATATCTTTCTCTATTTCTCGGCGCAGTGTGTTCTTTGGCCTTCTTCTTTTCCTTTTGCCTTGAGGGTTCCATGTGAGGGCTTGTCTCGTGACGCAGTTTGGTGCTTTCCGCAATGTGTGTCCTATCTACTTACACCTCTTCTTCCTGGTTTCCTCCTCTACTGGAATCTGGTTTGTTCTTTCCCACAGTTCGTTGTTGCTGATGGTGTGTGGCCAACGAATACGAAGTATTTTGCGTAGACAACCGTTAATAAATACTTGTATCTTCTGGATGATGTCTTTGGTAGTTCTCCATGTTTCCGCTCCATACAATAGAACTGTCTTCACATTTGTATTGAAAATCCTGATTTTGGTTTTGGTTGAAAGTTATTTGAAGTTCCAGATGTATTTCAACTGTAGAAATGCAGCCCTTGCTTTGCCGATGCGCGACCTCACATCTGCATCCGATCCACCTTGATTGTCGATGATGCTGCCAAGATATGTAAAGGTGTTAACGTCCTCCAAGGCATCCCCATCAATAGTGATTTGATTGGTGCATGTTGTGTTGCATCGGAGAATTTCGCTCTTTCCTTTATGTATGTTGAGACCTACTGCTGCAGAGACTGCTGCTACACTGGTCGTCTTATCTTGCATTTGTTGTTGAGTGTGCGATAGAAGAGCCAAGTCATCTGCGAAGTCCAGATCGTCCAGCTGCGTCCTAACTGTCCAGTTGATACCGTGCTTCCCTCCAGATGTTGACGTTTTCATAATGCAGTCGATCACCAGGAGAAAGAGAAAGGGTGAGAGTAAGCAACCTTGCCTGACACCGGTCTTCACCTCGAAAGAGTTTGTTAGCTGTCCTTCGAGTACGATTTTGCAGTTGAATCCATCATAAGAATTCCGTATGATGTTAACTATTTTCTCAGGCACACTGCAGTGTCGAAGAAGCCTTCGCAGTGTTTTCCTATCCACGCTATCGAATGCTTTCTCGTAGTCGATGAAGTTGATGTAGAGTGGTGAGTTCCATTCAATTGATTGTTCCACAATGATCCGTAATGTAGCAATTTGGTCAGTACACGATCGATCCTTACGAAATCCGGCCTGTTGATCTCGAAGTTGGGCGTCTACGAAGTCCTTCATTCTGTTTAACAATACCCTGTTGAAGACTTTGCCTGGTATTGAAAGAAGAGTGATGCCTGTGTAGTTCTCACACTTTCTGCGATCGCCTTTCTTCAGTATTTTGATGAGGTATCCTTCTTTCCAATCTGACGGTACTTGTTCCTCATCCCAAATCTTCTTGAAGAAAATGTGAAATATTTTTGCAGCTGGTTCCACGCCTGCTTTCATTGCCTCTGCTGGAATGTTGTCTGGTCCTACTGATTTGCCGCCGTTGATTCGTCTGATGGCCATGATGATCTCTTCAATCGTAAGTGTGCCAATATCGATTGGGAGGTCCGTGGATGCTGTTTCGATGTTGGTTGGGTTCAGTGGAGCTGGTCGATTCAATAGTTCCTTAAAGTGCTCTACCCACCTATTTCGATGTTCTTCAGTGTTGCTGATTAATTTGCCTTCTTACTTTTCACTGGTTGTTCCGGTTTACGATGGTTTCCAGCGAGCTTCTTTGTTGTATCGTACAACTGTCTCAAGTTTCCGTCTCTTCCAGCCTTTTCAGCCGTCATTGCTAGATCTTCCACATATTTTCGTTTGTCAGCTTTGATGCTCTTCTTCACTTCCCTATTTGCTTCTGTGTATGCAGCTTGTGCCTTAACTTTCTCTGCTCTTGTTCGGCTGACATTCACTGCTGCCTTCTTGTTCCTCCTTTCTTCAATTTTTTCAAGAGTACCAACAGAGATCCATTCCTTGTGATGGTGCTTCTTGCGACCAAGGACCTCCTGACATTTTGAAGTGATTGCCTCCTTAATCCCTTTCCAATTGTTCTCCAATGTTGCTTCCTCTCCATTGAGTAGATCCTGAAAGGCCTGGAACCTATTGGTGAGGGCTATCTTGAATTCGTTGAGTTTTACGGTATCCCGAAGAAAGGCTGTATTAAACTTCTGTGATGTTGTCTGCCCCGTTGTCCAGTGCTTCTTTAGCTTCAATCTCATTTTGGTGATCAGCAAATGGTGATCTGAACCTATATCAGCTCCTCTCTTGGTTCTCACATCCTCCATGGTCCTTCTGAACGTTTTGTTGATACAGATATGGTCAATTTGGTTTTGAGTAGT